GTACGCAGACATGCCCCTGGTCCTCTACTCCTCTTATACCAAGGAATGAATGTTCAGTACAGAACAGACAGGTGGTGTGAAAGCGGACTCATGTTTTTGTTTAACACATGTTGTGGTCCTCTGCAGGTACGCTACCCAGTTGGATCCTGACCCTTACTGGCCACACTCTGTGCCTCTAATTATTGTGTATGTGCTGCTTATTAACTGCAACACGTTAAAACTCAGCAGCAGGTAAGAACACGCCATCACATTTTCTTGTGGGCTTTGTTAACCTGGAACAATTAGGTATCCAAATTTTTCTTGATCTTTTTCAGTAAATTCCTGCCTCTGACCTCCTGCCTCCCTCTACCCTTGGCCATCACCATGGTGACCTTCTCTCCACTTCACCTCTACAGAGTCACCTACTTCCTGTTGGCTGCGCTCTCCCCCCTGGCCTTGTGTTGTCTGCTTTGATGGTATCTGGCTTGTTTTAGACTTCATCACTATCATAACAAGCTGTTCTAAGTAACAGCCTGACTCACTGAAGCTGGCTGAGGCTGATTTGTCCCAAAAAAGACTACATGTATCAAACTGCCATGGAGCAGAGCCATCGACATACATAGCTTGGGGAACTGCCTGCTCCATGTTGGCACCAAAAGTCCCATTGTAGTTACACTGTATTAAAATGAGAGGCTGTAATGGCAACGGAACATTTGGTGCAAATATAGCTCTGTTGGACTGACCTGAAACCAAGTTTGCCTTACTCTGTATATCTATGGCTCTGCCTTCAAGGAGCTAGACCTCCACCACCAGTTAAGCTACTGAGAGATTCTCAGCAGGGTGATACTGTTCAAATCTGTTATTTTTGTCAGTTCTAGTGTCTGTAGTGGCATTGTTCGCTGTGGTCACTCTGCTCTAAACTCCTACACTGCCTACTGCTTAGCAGTGATAAAATAGCCTTTCATATTGATTGTCATAGTACCGCCACCAAACCAGTGGCAGTCATACATGCATTCCTTAAGAAAAACCCAAAGTAATCCTGTTTACATCCTCCTTTAATTTGTTGATACCCAACAATGGCAACGAAATGAAGATTTACAGTGGGGCGGGCTTGAGTACATGTGCAGGTTCCAAAGTCACATTACTCAGACGGAGGTTGAGGTGTAGTCTAGCACTAGCTGCTGGCAGAAGCTGCAGGTTCAGCTTATGATCTAATTCACCTTGTATGTGACTGTAACATATGGGTCAGCTCTGTAGCATCCTTCAGGAGATCTGGCGTTTATAGGACTCATGGTGTCGGCTGATATCCGCGTACAACATTCATGCACTTAATTACTTAACGTGTTTTAGGTTTCTCTAGGTTTCTGTGTGACCATCTGATAGCTTTTTATTAATGTCTGAGACCATGTAGGTTTCAAGTGGCTCCAAATTTTAATCTTAGAAGATAATGCTGAAGTTGTCTTAGATTTTTCTTACTGTCAACAAAACCTATGGAAAATCTAAAGCCAACAATGTGTTTGACTTTCTCAGTACTTTGACTTCCCTACTTTGTCTGTAGTGCTCTGCTTTCTACAGAAGAAGTAAGACCACTCACTGATGTGTAGTTTTATATTTTGAAAAAGGCTTAGTCGTTTCAGAAAACGGTTCTTATAGTTTTTACTAAACTTTTACTCAAACAGAAGGCAGTGATGTATTAGTCGGGGACTCTAGTGAGTAGCAGCAGAATGGTGCACGTGGGACTGGGCCAAAATAAACTACAGTGGTAATGAAAGAGCGTGTCAGCCAGTACAGCCGTGTGTCTCCCTGACATGATTTTAATCCTTTGTGGACACTGAGGAATACTATCTGCCGGGCTCTGGATACATGGACAATACTTGATAGTGGGAGCAGTTCATTGTTGTGTTTATTGATGGGAAAATATGGAGCATCACCTGACTTATCCATTAATGTAGTGAAGAAGGGGCTGCAGTATTTAATAGGAAACTTGGATTTAAATGGGAGGAATCAGTTGGTAAAATCTGTCACCACAGTCAAACCATCATGCAGATTGCTCTAATGAAAACTGTGGTGTGTTGTTATGACATGTAGGGCCTGAATTTAAGTTCAATTTCTGTCGCCAGTGTCTTTTTTTTTTAGCCAGTTAACCACCGCACTTAGAATGACGCTCTTTGGTCATCACCAAATTTATGTACAGTAACAGTTGGAATCTTTAATGGCGATTTAAAAAGTTCTTCCTATGGCAACTGGCAACTGGCAGAACAAGCTGTGGTGAACTGACTACACCAGGTGTTGGTGTCTCATCTAAAAGTTGGCTTTTTGTTTCTTTGATGCGTCTTTGTGTTGAGCTGCCTTGTGTCTCATCTCCTTTCTGTTGCACACACCTCATGTCAGCAGCTGTTGTGCCTTTCTGCTTTCTCGTATGCAGTGGTGCATCTGTTTCACATTTGCCTGTTGGTTTAAAACCAGTCAGTCCTCAGCAGCAGCGTACTGGTTAAATTGTTGAGAAAGACCTATAGTGAATGTAAGTCTGTCTGTTACTGTGTGAATGTGTTAAATAGTTAAAATCCTCAACATGTTGGTGTGACTACAGATTTGGGTGACTTGTGTAATTCTGAGACACTGAAGTTCTTTATAGGGACCAATCACACTTGCTCTTAGGGCATGTGTACAATCATACATCATCATGCTCTGCAAGGAGACCACGGTTGTTCCCAGTGTGAATGTGTCTGCCCTGGATGTCGCTATTTGTATGAAACTAGTCATGGAAGTGAGCAGCTGTTCTGTGCACGTGTCTGTCTGGTGCAGTTTTAGTGCTTTGAGGTGCCTGTTTGCTTCGTTGTGAACTGGTGGCGTACACAACTTTGTAGAACAGATTACTAGAGGTGGGGGTTGGGAATTGTGTAATCATGATTTATATTGGTGTTGGCTGTGATCATGCTGTTGCAGATGTTGTTTCCACACATGCCACAAAATGTTTTCTCAAAGATTGATATATACAATGTGTCTATTAAATTAATCTGAGTCTACAAAAAGATTCATTTGAATGAATGTTTAATTTAGACAACTTGCTAAAATTGCACCATGATTAAAAACAGTCATCAAATCTCACATCTGAACCTGAACTGACGGCTGACTTATTTAGAAATTCTACCAGTTCTGAAGCAAAAGATTTCAGTCTCAAGTGTCTGTCGTGGTGTCAGATTGCCTGGAGTTAGATTGTTTTTAACAGAATAGGATGAAGAGCTCATTGTTTCATAGCACCTCAGCTTTGGTATCTGTTTTTACAAATGGCTTTTATGGAAGAGGATTAGGGCCACTGTAAAAAATGTGTTTGAGTTTAGACTTTTATTTCCACAGAAGCTTTTCCAGTGGCCCCAATCGTCTTCTGTAGTTTTTCATTAACACATGAATGAGATGTTTGAAAATGTCATGTTTCACTCAAATCGTTCACTGTAAACATCCTGTTGGTAGATGTGCAGTTACCAAAACCTGAACCATCAAGACAAAAGACAGGCTCTTGTTTCAGCTCACTGTCAAAGGAATTAGCCAGTCCAACCAGATTCCTTCATACAGTATAGCTTCTTATCAAACACACAGTGTAACATGTTTATTAGACATGACAACCAGCACACCTGTATGAAACTACAATACAGTAACTGTGCTGATCACTGAAGTTATCACAGCCCAGATGTTGGTAGTGTTAATAACAGCTGTCACCGTTTGTAATAAACATCTCTGACTGTAATATGAAACACTAAATGTTACTGCTGTCTGTAAGTGCGTTAAAGTCTGGTAATTCTGTTGGTTTCCTTTATTTTGCTTGTGCCTATACAGTGACTTTGAAACCTGTAACCAGCTAGTTGTGCAGAACTAGTTAGTCCTCTGATATTTGCTGATGCATTAGGTTGTATGGAGTGAAACAGATTAAAGCAAAGGCCCTATCCCATATAAGGGATATTGTGTTTTGATGTATATTTTCTGGTGAAGCTCTACTGTGGAAGAGTAATTAATCCTCAGGTTTAAACATTGTGTCACAATTAATTGATTTGATGTTTTTATATTTCTCACATTTGTATTTGATGTCATTGTAAAGGGGCAGGCAGAAATTCTTTTTGCACCATTGTTGCAATAAAACCGAGAAAAATAAGTGTTTCTTTTTTTAACAGTAGGCTCCGAGTATGAAATGAACAGGCTGTGCTACTTTACTACTTGCCCTGTTCCAGTAAAAGGTCTCCAACAGCCTGTTTAGACTCTGGCCCTCCTGTTTCCTGACTCCAACCTGAGCCTCTCAGCTCCACCTCTGGACTAATCTAAGTTTGCCATGATGATCTGTTGGAGTGCGGCTGCACCTCTGTTGAGCGGCCACAGGGGGCGCCATCCATTTGCCACCCATCGACCATGCTGTACATGACAGAGGGAGGCGTGAGGTTGCAACACAACTGAACTAATGTGTTGTGCACTTTCCTCGTGGCTGCTTTGTGTTTACACAGGCACGTCGTTTCACAGTGGTGGAAAGTGCTGAATATGGGTCTTAGTTCACTGACTGAAGACTAATAAATCATTAGGACTAACACTGTCCCCCTGTGTAAGGGGACAGATGGGGCGGTAGCCTGCTACTGGGGGAAGAAGTGCTCTGGTTCCTTTGGGTAAAAACAACAAACCGTCCCTCTGAAAATGTTACTTCAGCAAAAGAAGGATTACCAGAGTAGGAACTATGCACAGTGGATTTATCACATTACTGCCTTGATTTAATTGATATGAACGTTCTTCTGCAAAGCAGTAACAGCTCTGGTTAATGTATTAGACTGAAAAGTAACGGAAGTAACAGGACATTAAAATAGGTCTACATCAAATGTGCACACTGAGTAAATGCATTTACTGGAGACAGGTTATCTGCAGTGTAATTTATCCACAGGTTGATTGGATTTAATGCAGTCTGACGGGACGTGTCACCGCCCACTGTGATTTTCCCACATTAATAGTCTATGCGCTGGATGGGATCAACAGAACCACATTTTGGGATCTACAGTCCTGTGAATAAATCCCTCCGCGCCCTGGAGACTCGTTGTACTGTAAATAACCAAACATTACGCCATCCTCCGGTCCGTTCCCCTCCTCTGGACTGGTAGCAGTTGCATGCTCTTCCCAGTCACATTTTGTGAAGCTGCTGGCAGTGGTGGGAGGACGTTGGCGCTAACTGCAGTGCATTGCGATGCAGAGAAGGGCAGTAGGACTGTATGAGCTGTACGCCTGAAGCCTAAAGCAGCATCCTCCAGTGCAGACGGAGCGCAGGGAGGTGGTGTCGGAGTTCATGCGCTCACCTCTGGACGCGGCTGCCGAAGAGGGCCGAGGTGTCTCTGCAGCGCCGAGGCTTTACAGAGGGATACCGTCTTGATACGTGACTCCGAGCCTGCGAGCGCGAGGCTGACCGGGCTCAGGATCTGGGAGGGAGGGAGGGGGTCCCTGGTGCGGCACCCCGCCCGTCTCTCCTCGTTGGGACTGCAGGGATAACGACCTAAAACCGTGATATCCCCGCGCAGAAGGCACTGAGCAGGTACTGGTGGCAGCGCTGCCCTCCCCAGTAGCCTACACCGTTTTCCTCCATCCCGCACCTCTGCGCCAAAGGTAAGCTCCGCCACCCAGTGCGCCGTCAGGAATAGAGGAAACATAGAGGTGTTCGCGGCTTCCTGCACCTACGGTGATGATGGGTAAAATTAGTGATGCTCAAAGCAGCTGAATCTGTCATTAAACAACCGCTGCGCCGTCTTGTGCGTATCGTGTTCTGCGTGTTGTAGTTTTGCGCTGAATGGGATGATCGACCGATGTGTTCATGCGTGCATCTTGTGAAAGAGCTGCATAAAAAGAAAATGACGTAGGGAATTCCCACAGTAGTCCAGTAGCCAGCATGACACCTGCACATTCCGCCAGTGCGGGTTCTGTATTCTGCTCAGCCGTGCGCAAAGCGGCAGAAATGAGCCCACAGGCTGCTTAGAAATGATTACAATTGGAGACAAACTGTTATGTAAGATGATTATGCCATAAGCCCGGGTTACCTTCACATCTGTTCTGTGGGTGCCAAGTAGTTCAGAAGGTGGCCTGTGTTGACATTCATATGAACTGTTAACACTTAGCTCAGACTTAATATGAAATATTTTCATATTTGAGATGAAGTGGAATAAGCATAAATACAAGCGTCACTTAATTTTACTCTTTCAGAGGGTCTTAAAAACCATTTTCTCACCTGAGACTATTTGACAGATGGCAGCCTGTGAATGTTTAATTTGAACAGCTGTCCAAGTTTTGCAGAACCTACAGTTTAATGTCAGTTGCAGAAAAGTGTGCTAATCGATGTGTAAATACATAAGAAGTCTTTGAGTTGTGGATGAAAGAACAGAGGGTGAGAGAAACGTCTGGGAATCCAAAATGCATTGCTGTGCACAGAATCGAGATTTAAAGTTAACGGAAGTAGGTCATTCCCTTTGAATCGACCATTTAATATATGAAAATACACAGTCTAACTTCTAAACATGCAGAAAAAGAAGCGGCGGCACACCTGAACAGATTCTGTGCTCATGTGCTGCACAGCCATTTCATAGCAGGTTCACATCTTATAGTGATAACATCAACTATCCTTTGTCCTCTCACCAACATATACAGCAGTGTCCATACAAAGTGGACGATTAAAGCAGTGTGAAGGGGCACGAGTCTCCTGGGGAGAAGATCAGCTGTTCTCTGTTTGCTCAGAGGTTTGATGTGACAGACTGGTGAGGAGTGAATGTTTCACAATAGTGTAATCATACCTTCAGAACTCAGCTGATCCTTTAGAAGACTTTACTGTTTACCGAAGCCCCTTCCACCCATGTGTTTTCACTGGCATTACCTGATTAGACCTCTTCTGGAGGACATGTGCATGTGAACAAACTGCTCTTGACAGACGTCTCCTTGGCTATGTTCACATTACCCAGATCTTATTTCTGCCCCAAATGATGCAGATCTGATCTTTTGATGGATGTGTGAACAAACCAAATCAGCTTCAGACCATTTGCACATGTGGTCTTAGATCGGATTGAAGGCTGATCTCTGACCTTGCAGAATTCATCTGGTTGAATCTTTTTAACATCTTGCTCTTCTGTACGTCTGTCTTCACCATTCAGGCTGGTGAAAATTAACAGAGGAGAGCAACAACAGCAACAGGGGTCAGTAAAGAGTCAAAGTTGTTGGACATGTATGGAGAAGCTTCCGATCAAGCCAAGATGGTGTTTTTGAGAAAGTTGCATGTTGTGATAGTCGCTCAAATGACGTTATTCTTCACATTTCAGTTAAAACTGGGCCTCAGCCACAGAGTCAGATACATGTCCCCTGCAAACATAAATCCATTCATTATCTACACTGCAGAGGGTCGGGCTGGAGCCAGTCCCAGCTGCCATTAGGGTGAGAGGCGGGGTGCGTTCTGGACAGGTCACCAGCCTATCACAGAGCTGATTAAAGACAGACACTCACACTTACACCTACAGGCAGTTTACAGTCCTGAGTATAGATGTAAATTCCCACCAAACCTTTGAGGGTGCACATACCACATTCAAATCATGTTAAACTCACAAGTCTGTCATCCCTCCCTCTCAAATCTGTTTCTGCCCTTACACATCCATGGCCATGCACTCTCAAACTGGGAGTTGCAAACTTAATAGCACTCAAAACGTGTTGTGTACTTTCAAACCTTTTGGCACTGACAGGCTTCAACACAAAACCCAGTGGAGAAATCTGAGCACACACTTGGACAGGATTATGCTCTCAAATCTGATTCTGCGCTCACAAATGCTGACTTGCAAATTGAGTTGGTTTGTGTTCTCTCAAACATTTTGGCTGGGATGAACGTCTGTCAGTCAGTCTCACCTACCTGCCTCTGGGAGGACACCAAAATAAACCCACGCTCGAGATTTGAACCCAGACCCTTCTTGTTGTGAGGCAGCGATACTAACCACCAGACTTTAGTCAGTTACAGAGACAACTTACCATGTCATAATTAGTTTGGTGACTTCATGCAAATTCCAGCTTTATACTTGATTTGAGGTCTAACCAACCAGAGGAACTGAAAACCTGTGTGTGTGTGTGTGTGTGTGTGTGTGTGTGTGCAGGGCCTTTAAAACCTTTTTCACTGCAGGCTGACTTGTCATGGCAGGAAAACAACAGGCACCACGAGCACCACTGATGATGGCTCTGTTCATGTGCCCCAGTAGGTCATGTCAGTGTGACAGCGAGCCAACACAAACAGTCCTAGGACCATGAAACCGAGGCAGCTACATGGACATCAGCCATCATTAATTTCATTATTCATTGTGCTCTTCCTCCATGTCAAAATGTCTCCTGTGAACAAGGCCTGTTCTTTGGTCCTGCAGCTGCATTCCCACGTTGATTCACTCTGGGACATTTAAAATGTATTTGCTCGATTCAGTCAGAAATCCTGCTATATATGTGGATGAGAGGTCTTAAAAATAACCACGTTAGATAAAATTAGTGTCTATAGGCGGTGTGGGCTGGGTGTTGGGCCTCAGTACTTTTACTGGTTGCCCAGCAACAAGTGTGGAAAACTCAGGTACTAAAAAGCTGGCAGCAGTTAATGTGACATTCACCTTCTGCTTCTTTTGCTAAATGAAAAAGATTTTTTGGCAAAACATTTCTATAAAAAAGAAAATGTATTGCTTCATTATTGTTACAGAAAGTATGATAGCGCTGAAGCATTGCAGTGATATCAGGAATGGTAGATTTGATAAAGAACTGTGTCATTGTGACAATCACACATCCTGCACCTTGTGGGAAATAATGGTTCAGTGTAGGGATGTGGTGACAAAGTGATGCATCAGGAACATCTTACTGAGTCAGGTGACGCGCGAGGCTTCACGCAACGAACAGGCTGAGAAGCTGCTGTTAGAAACCGAATTAGCGAATGAGTCAGGAGGTCAGATGTGAGAGGGACATGGAGTAGAGGTGATGTCACTAACCACCTTGCTGCTTCACAGATAGGTCGTCATTAGTCCCTCGTTAAAACCCTTCAACATTCAATTCCCCTCTTTTATTTGATTTTACTTCTCTGACGGAAAAGTCTATAAGACAATATACTGTCGTCTCTGTTCATTGAGGTTATGCGATGTTTGCATTTTGTTAATATTTGTCATGTTTTATGGCATTAACTTTCCATCAAATTGAAAATATTGTAAATATGTTTTGCACATTTCCTCAAAATGGCATTTTAGTAACACTGTGTTTTTCACTTGGTGTCTGACAAAAATGATATCCAGATATTTGCTGGGATTTTGTTGATAACAATATTCTGCATCCTTCAAAAATATATTTAAATCTATATTTGCCTTTGTTAATAGGAACCGCCCATGCTTACCAATGCAGGTCTTAGTTATTTACTTAAAAGAATACAGTACATAAACACAGAATGTGTCCACTAAAGCTCGTGTTGGTTTAGTCCTGTCGTCAACAGCTGACTCCCGAAGCTTCTCAGGTTCTCGTTACTCTGTGTGGTGGTTAGTTCACAGATGGTGAAGTAACTGTTGAGTTGTCTTTAGGGCAACTGATTTCTGACAGTTTAGTCTTTTGAGCAGCCTCAAAATGTACCTCCATGGGAGTGAGGCTGATCCACATCTGGCAGTCTGTCCACTGGGTGAGAGGTGGGGTCCACCCTGGACACTTAGAGACAGACAACCACACACACTCCTACAGAGCAATGGACCAGTCAACTTAAGCTGCATGTCTTTGGACTGTGAGCGAAAGCCGGAGCATCCGGAGAGAACCCACACAGACACAGGGAGAACATGCAGTCTCCACACAGAAAGGCCCGGGGTCAGCCAGGGCTCAAACCTGGAACCTTCTTGCTGTGAGGCAGTGCTAACCGCTGCCCCACCATGCCACCCACATCTATCAATTAATTTAAATTGCAGGTGGTGTCTGTGTCTTGTCTCTGGCGCTGGCTGTTCACTCATTTTTAACTTTGCTAATATGTTTTTAAGCAGCTACACTAACTTGTGGTGCAGTGACCATGTACACACCTCATGCGTGCACTCTGAATGCATGTGCACAGCAGTCTAGCCTACTTGGCTTCATGAGGCAGTGAATTTCAGCTCACACATTGTTTAAACAGCAGTTAAGATATTGTTGCCGACGTTATATATTGCACACCCCCACCTGAAGATAAACGATAGCTGAGTGGTTTTGACCAGTGTGCACCGACTGGCCCCACAGTCATGGTTCTAGATGTAAGAGTTTCTTAGACATGGATTGAAAAAGGGAAGTTGTCTATTCAGCAGCTCAGGCGCCTCTATCAGATCCACCAGTTTACCTTTGTCTTAAGTTTAATTCCTTCCATAAATTCATACACATGTTCCCATTTATAGAAGGATCAGCTTTCTAAATTCGGAGAGGGCGATATCAGTCAGTCTTCTGGCGCTTTCGGCTGCCTGAGGCCTACTGTGGAGGGAAACCCCTGAGCAATGACTCATCTCAAACAAGTACTGCCATGTGTTTAGAGAAATGCCCTGTGCAGGACAGAGCTGTACTTTTCCTAATAACACTTCAGAACCAACGCTACAGCCTGTGTTCTCTCCGAATGACTCACAAAG